GTTCAAGCCCATCTTGTTTCTTTATTTTGTATTGTAACCAGCATTCTTTGTTCTCTAACGACCATCTGCATCGTTAAACGACCCACCGGCGGGTCGCGTGGCGGGAGCCGACCTTATATATAGGACCCACCAACTGACTTGAGTCAGTTCAGTCCTCTTGTCATACAGTCCACATCCTTTGAGTGTCACTTGTTACTTAAACTTAATTTATTTGTGTTGTTCCTGTCGCCACCAATGTGGTATATCTATGTGAGTACCTATTTATGTCTCTGTTTGTGTCCATCAGTATTTGCTTAGTTGTATTCAAGTAATTCAGTGTTGTTTCACGTTAGTTAATTTCAGTGTTAGTTTTTATATGTTTATGCAGAGTTAACGTAATCCAATGCTTTATTTTTATTCTTTTGATGTTTCGATGTTTAGTATCATTTGTGTCTTAAAAGTTTCGATGGTGAATCAATTTGTTGTGACAGCCTACGAGGCTCTTTATTGTGTTAATATTTAATTAATTAAATTCTTAAAGGTTTACTTTATTTATTTTTATTCTCTTTTAATTTACTTCACTTTTTGTTTGGTTACGCCTAGAACCTGGATATTTAAGTAAATTAAGAGACGGTGTAACAACACACACACATACACACACACACACACACACACACACATCCATTTCCCTATGTTGCGGATAAACGAATCATTCAGAATATCTGTCAGAATTAGGGGACATTTGTCATGGTCTCCTGGCAGCTTGGCAAGATTAACTTCACCAATTAACATTTTATTTCAAGTTTAGTTGTTGACGATTTACCTTTCTATAGATCATATGTACGAGTGTGTATGCAGGTGTGGTGGTTTGGTGGGGGGTGGGGGGCGTCAAGGGCAAATGGTAATTAATTATTCTAGGGGACAGGTAGGAAATGTTACCTGCCTTTTTTTCTCTCTACCTTCATTTTCAGTTAAAGATAGGTAAAGAAAAAGAAGTTAGTTTATACTCTTGAGAGGTTTCCTATATGCCACCGAACATCAAAACTCAGTTAAGGTCATGCCAGCCCTCACTGACCACATAATAGCTCAGAACGCAACAGGTGAGGTGGATACCAGTGATGTAATCAAGATTCGAAGGTAGGCCAGTAGAAGGTTTGCCCTCCCAATGCGTGTGTGGCTCTTCCTATGATGTCGATCACGCCATGGTGTGCAAGAAAGGGGGCTTCATATGCATGAGGCATGACGAAGTAAGAGATCTCACAGCAAATATGTTGAAGGAAATCTGCCGTGATGTCAGGGTGAGAATTTCCGACATAGGACTTCAAACACATCCAACGAAGTCCGTGTTGACGCCATTGCTCGAGGATTCTGGATGCGGGGACAGCGAGCCTTCTTTGACATAAGGATTTTTGATCCCATGGCCGCATGTCACCGAAACTTAGCTCTCGATGCTGCACACACGAGGAACGAGAACGACAATATAAGGGAAAACGGGGAGAGAATTCAGAAAGTTAATCAACGCAGCTTCAATCCTCTGGTGTTCACAACCTCTGGTGGGATGGGACCAAGTGCAAGATGCTTCTATGCCAGACTCGAGGAGGTGAAATCCGAACAGAAGCAGCGGCCCAAAAGTTATGTAACAGCCAGGATGAGATGTCGACTGTCCTCTCTCCTTCAGTCGGCTTTGCTCTGCCTCAGCAGAACGAGAGCTTCGGCCCCAAAGCCGACAACAGTTGCAGATATTGACTATGAGGCTACAGTCACTGAGTGCCGCATAGATCTGCGGCTCAACTAACTCAACACAGCTAGGATGGCTACTTATGTATAAGGATGTTTAATATTAAGGTAATAAGATGGCGTCGAAGGTGTGGCTATTAGGGGAGGATGGCGGCAACATTAAAAAAGTAGAAGTAGTAGTAGGAGTAAACCACAAGGCTCTAAGAGGTGATACCACCTTACAGTCAACCGAGGGATCAACACAGGCGGACGCTGTTGCAATGGCAATGTATGCAATTGGCCTATTAGCGCTCCAACAAGAAATAAAATTTGAAACAACTGGGGTCAAACAAGTAGCATAAGCTGATGACCTTACAGGAGCAGGAAAAGTGGAGTGCATCAAAAAGTGGTGGGACTTGGTAACATGGCGAGGTCCACAAATAGGGTATCACCCAAACACCAGCAAGTCCTTCCTCATCGTGGAGCCAGAACATTATGAACGGGCAATGGAGGTTTTTGGCGGAAGTGAGGTCAAAATAACCAACGACGGCCAAAGACATCTAGGCGCAGTAATTGGCATTGCGGACTTCAAGACCGAGTACGTAGGGGGAAAGGTGAATGAGTGGGATAGTGAAATCCAAGCTCTGTCTGAGATTGCTAACACAGAGCCACATGCGGCCTTTGCTGCATTCACCCATGGAGTCAAGCATCGTTTGAACTACCTGATGCTTACACTCCCTGATATCGGACCCCTCCTGCACCCTCTGGAAGAAGTTATCATTGTCAATTTCATTCCTAAATTAGTGAAACACCCTGACTTAACCCCAGTAGAAAGAGCACTTCTTGCACTTCCATCAAGACTGGGAGGGATGGTACTAACAAATCCAGAGGAGATTGCTGCCACTGAACATCAAAATTCACTTAAGCTCACGGCAGCCCTCACGGACCACATAATAGCCCAGAATGCAATCGGGGAAGTGGATACCAGTGAAGTAAATAAGATTCGTAGGTCCATTAGGACAGATCGACAGCACTGCCAAAATGAGAAGTTGCAGCAACTGTTGCTGCAGGTACCAGAAAATTTGAAAAAAAAAGTAGCTATAGTGCAGGAGGTGGGCGCCTCGAACCGGTTAACTACGTTACCAATAAGGGCAAATGGTTTCAGTCTTAATAAACAAGAATATACAGATGCCATTGCTCTAAGGTACGGTCGGCCAGTAGAAGGTTTGCCCTCCCAATGCCTGTGTGGCTCTTCTTATGATGGTGATCACGCCATGGTGTGCAAGAGAGGGGGCTTCATATGCATGAGGCATGACGAGGTAAGGGACCTCACAGCAAATATGTTAAAGGAAATCTGCCGGGATGTCATGGTAGAACCGACCCTCCTTCCATTGGATGGTGAGATCTTCCAACACAGGACTTCAAACACATCTAACGAAGCCCGTGTGGACGTCAGTGCTCAAGGATTCTGAACGCGGGGACAGCGAGCTTTCTTCGACATCAGGATTTGTGATCCCATGGCCGCATGTCACCGTAACCTAGCTCTCGATGCTGCACATAGGAGGAACGAGAACGACAAGAGAAGGGAATATGGGGAGAGAATTCAAAACGTTGATCAAGGCAGCTTCACTCCTCTAATGTTCACAACCTCTGGTGGGATGGGACCAAGTGCAAGATGTTTCTACGCCAGACTCGCGGAGGTGATCTCCGAACAGAAGCAGCAGCCCAGAAGTTATGTTACAGCCTGGATGAGATGTCGACTGTCTTTCTCTCTCCTTCGGTCGGCTTTGCTCTGCCTCAGGGGAACGAGAGCTTCTGTCCCAACTCCGACAACTGCTGCAGATATTGACTATGAGGCTACAGTCACTGAATGCCGTATAGATCTGCGGCTCAACTAATTTAACATAGATAGGATAGCTTCTTATGTATTAGGATTTTTAAAATTATGGTAATTAAATGGTGGCGGAGGTGTGGCTATTGGGGGAGGCTGGAGACCACGTTTAAAAAAAAAAAAAGTTGTAGTAGTAGTAGTAGCAGCAGTAGTAGTAGTAGTGGCAGTAGTAGTAGTATTTTCATTATGTTTCGACTTTGGATTAAACAGTAATACATTACCCAGATATTTTCCCTCCTCTCCTCTGGCCATCAACTTAAACAAGACCACGAATGAGCTTCATCGACCCTGAGTGTGTAAGAACATGAACTACGACGATGAAGAGCTTGTGTCCCTTGTTCTTGGGGGTAACACCGTGAAACCTCCATATAAGGGACTTTTCTCGGTATTTAATCCGTTGTATGGAGGTTTCACATCTAACGGACCCTCGATATAACGGACTTTATACATAGTTCGTTAGATGGAGGTTTCACATCTAACGGACCCTCGATATACCGGACTTTCATTTCTATATAGTCTGCTAAATAAAAGTTTCTTTGGTATTACGCTTTCCCGTATGATATAACTCTTATGTAATCGAGTTTAAGATAGATGAATTACCTTGTTATTTATTCAGGTAATTAATTAAGGTATGAAGGATAACGCTTGAACACTGATACACTAATGGTAGACTGATGTATAGAGTTGTGTTAAATTACCAATTAATTAACAAAATATAAAGTAGATGTTAGTGTTGTGTTGTGGTGCAGTACTATAAAGGTGAAGAATAGTCACCCCAGTTTATTTCAAGGGATAATTAACAACTAAACGCTAAACCTAACCTAACCTGAAGAACAGATACCCTTGTTGAATCCAGTTTATCTGAAGGGATGATTAAACAATTAAACACCTAACCTAACCCAGCCTAACCTAACCTAACCTAACCATGGGATGAATTATACGAATCAAGTAACACCATTATTTTTTTATTTATTTAATCTGTGAATTATTTTGTATTTTTCTAGTTATATATTTTTTCTGTATTTAGGACGGCAAATTTTATTCAATACTGGTGATGCCAAAGAGTATTCAAGTTTATCAGTAATGCCGTAATATGTTTTTTTTTTGTGTATATGCAACACTTCTGTTGTCAAGTATCGCTTATTTACGCCCGGGCACCCACAGTCGACCCAGTTGTGAACGGGGTCAGATACAGCCTCCTCTTCAAGCCTTGAGGTCCTAACATCACTTATAAATGGTGAAATCTGATCTTTTCTGAGCATTTTATTTGAGTATTAATTCAGCATTACCATGACAATATATACTTCTGAGTTATTTTCTCTCTCTGTCTCCGGCACACAACTAACCTGCCCTTGGTTACTGATATCAATACATCTAGAAGGTTAATGAACACAACAATTAGAATGTGATGTTTATTATGTTCTTTGTATAATTATTCCCAAAGCCACATTAAAACTCTTCTTGGTTCATCTGATCTCTTAGCCATGTTCAAGGTTTCCGATGTTTATAAACTGCTCTGATTTGGTTACCAGTGCACACCATGGTAAAATAAAATGCGTTTTGGTAGGTGAAGTGGATTATAGCGACTAGCAAAGTCTATATTGCTCGGTGACTGGATACAATAGGAGCAGATGCTATTGATGGAATACTTATGAAATTGCTTGAAATATAGTGACCCAGTAAAGTGTCCCTGCCCACCCCCTGCCTCCCTCCTTCCCTGCCTTCCTCCACCTCACAGTGTCTCAGGGAGCAAGCAGGCTGGCAGGGAGGGAGGAAGGCAGGGTCATATTTATGGGACACCCTATACATTCAACTCTTTATTACTCAAATATATTCTGATTCAGTCAACTCATGCTTGACCTACGTGGAAAGTTGAGTTGACTTGGTAACAATTTTATATGTATATGAATCTTGAGCTAGTTAGAGGCGACTTATTCATTTCTCAAGTATTTTGCATCCATTCATCTAATAATTAGGTCATGACTCAATAGTAGTTATTCACTGGACTATATGTATAAGTAGACATCATAACACAGGATATTGATATTATGGATAATGGATTCTTGTACTCCTACGTAAATAAACAAATACTCGTAAATTGTATAACCAATCTACAATTATCAAAACAAGACTAAGAATAAAAGTAACATACTTATTTTTTGTTTGTTTCTCTCACTAATAGTTAATGTAAGACACAAAAAAATATCAAGTTGGAAATTTGAAGTAAGATCACATGTCAGTTCAATATCTTACTTGAAGGTGTAATAGGTCTCTCTCCCTCTTTCCCCTTACAAAATTTAAAGTGGTGAATCTTTGGTTACCTCTGCAAAATGTTGAGGGGAAAATAAATACTGTTCTAACTAAATTGATCTTTGAAGTCTGAATTAAAGCATCTTTTACCGAGTGTCAGGTAAACTGGTAGAAATATAATGTATTTATGGGATCCAAATCTCAGCTTATTCATTTTTGATGATCTTTGACCCCTTTAACAGGTTCATAAGGTATAAATTTTAAAACTATTTATATCACTGTACGGATATATCACTGTACCACGTCCCATGGCAGTGTAATGTACCATAACCATCAAATTAGGCATTTTTGTGACTTGTGACCCAATGAAATGACCAAAAATGCCCAAATATCACTTCTAGAAAAACAAAACATTGTGTAGTACCTATTCAAGGTTATATTAATGCCAAGCCTCAGTTTAATTATTGGTCTACATACAGTAAAATCACCTCAAAATGTTTGTTTTGGGGTTGCTTGACCTTTGATAAATATTTTAAAGGAAAAATAATGAGTCTTCGTCCTGAAGTTGACACTTAAATAAGGAGAAAAGTGTACAAATATGCACACTATCCTGAACAATCCTAAAGGAAAATAATAGAATAATTTGAAGAATAGTCACAAAAGAAATGATGGTTGAGTATCCAGGAAAGTCACGACTCAATGTTGCCAGAAAGTGAAAAGTCTAGGCCGGGGAGATCAAAAGTTAAGAGTTAATGTGTGAACTCCTGGGGAGATGAATATAAAGATAAAATCTTGAGAGAACTGGATATAAAACAGGAGAGTGAGTGAAAGAGTGAGTGTGGCAGCAGTGTGGTGGCAGGAGCCGCAGTTGGCCACTTATCGGCAGGTGAAATTGGTGATCTTTTTCTCTGTAAATTAAGAAAATAATATAAGCACGATGGCTAATATATTACTGGTAACATTGTCAAGACGATTTTTTTTAATTTCTCACTTATTAAGTGATAAATATAACAAGAGTTACTATTAACATTATCTGGTTGCCTGGTGAGTAATACTTGTGTTGTATTAGACCACTAGAGTATTTATGGATTATATGTTTAAGTCTACTGAACAAATTGTTACAACTTTACCGGACATAAAGGAGGAGATTAAGTTCACAATTGCTCTCCTGTTTCTACCCAATCAACCGAGGTTAAAATGAAATATAAATGTAATACACTGTTTCGAGGGATCAGAATTTTTCCCATCATGTTTTCAGCCCCTTAAAGGTGATCCCGTTTCGCATGATATAACTATTATCCGAGTGAATATTACAACGTCTTTCAATGAAGCTTTGGTGTGTCATTACGTTTATCAAATCATTAAAGTATCCTCGATATTTGCAACAGATGTATGGCAATATTACACAGATCTTGCTAAAGGTTAAATAACAGTATAAAGTGACCCTTACTTGGCACACAGCACCAGCAGTTCTTGTTGTCATGGCAGCCACACCGGAAGGCTACGTAACCCACCCGACATAATCGCCTGGCCTTGATGCAGTAGCCGTCCACATCAAGACACTTCTTCTCACCCATACACAGCTTACAACACGCACACTCCTGGTCCTGACACACCTCTGTACTCAGGTAGAAGTTGTTGGAGAGGAAGCAGTAGAACCTATTACCGAAGCAGTAGCCAGGGTTGGGACCTTCTCTACACGCGGGAGTTAGTTTACATTGGTGGCAGCATCTACGAGGAATTCACAATGTGTTATTTAATGCAGACAATTCTCGTATTTGATGTTCAGATGGACTTATATATTCATACTAACAGTAAAAACTAACTGGTATCCATAGTCTAGAGATTCAATAAGGACTTTCCACCATTAGTTTTAGTACAGAACACCACAGTACCCGGACAAACTCTGGTATATTTGATAATGTCTATATTTAATCTGAGCGAGTATCCAACTTGAGTCATAATGAGAAGACTCCAGTGTGATACAGCTAGAATGGTGTGGCGCTCATGGGTGTAGGATGGACAGACTAACATACTAACACTCACCGACATATTCGACTGTGACAAGATGCCCAGCGGTTCTCGTATTCCCTTGTCCAACAGTAGTTCCTGCAGCTCGCTCCACGTTGTGCACAGTCGGAATTTTCGTAATCCTTCTCACAGTCTGAAATAATTTGTTTTAGTATGATTTGGTCAATCAGTTATTGATTCACAGTAATGACTAATCATTACCATTAACCAGTATATTAGATAACAGAACATGTAGAGTCTTTAAATGTGTTGACATCTATTATCAAAAACTGTCACATCAATTCCACAGAGATTTTTCTTTTAAATTCCCTACTTATTAAAATCAACAATGAAGTTTTTGAAGAAATTATACATAGATATGTGTTCAGAAAATACTGTAATTACATGTTCTACTGCACAGTCATAAAACGTTTAAAGGAGAGTCATGCCAGGAAAACTCTTTTTTGAATTGTTGATGGACTAGTCTATCACTAGTGCAATTACTAACCTTGAATTATGTTTGTCCCTTCACTACAGAGACGCCACTTTTCGTATTTTATTTGGTTAACGCCAGACGGTTTTATTCAGCTCCAAGGCAACATCGTACACACGGGGTTAAAGACCTTAATTGTTGAAGCGCAGCAATATTATAACATCAACAACTGCTAACCATTGCTGTGTTTATTTACAATTCTAATAAGAAGTACCAACCGGACTCAACAAACATCAGACGCTCAAAGTAGATAATACTAACATGTGATAACTTTTACTGCCACTGAACTTGATATTTTTAGACAGTTACCTACACAACAGGAACACTTGGGGTTTGTACAGACGTTTCTGATTTCGAAGTCACAGTCCTTGGTTATGTAGTCCTTCAGCTCACACCGGCCGCCGTAGGTGTCCACACACTGTGTCCTGGTGAGCCGGTGGAGAACACGTCCACGGGAGAAGTTTAACGATAGAATGTTATTGAATTACTGTAGACCCTAGTTTATTTCACCTGAAGATTAATCACCCTAATTCTAACCTAACATAACCTAACCTAACATTAACATAACCGCCCCCCCCCCGCTCCCCCGTAGCGTTAGGATGGTTAACCTTCACGTGATCCAAAAATATAATTAATAAAAAAATGAAGAGGTGGAAATGTTTTTGTTATGACATATTCCTTATTTGTTTTTGTTGTTTTGATAAAGTTAAACACCTAATCCACATCACTCCTCTGGCATGTTATTATTAGCTAATTAACGTGTCCCAGCCACCAGGTGTATTAGTTAGAGGTCTGATGTAACCTCAAAACACACACACACACACACACACACAACAGCAAGTACTTACCCATTATCAAGGCAACAGTCATTTGTATTATTGCAGTCAGTCCTGAAAGTCTCCTGGACCCTGGGAGTCTCCTTGACCCTGGGAGTCTCCATGACCTTGGGAGTCTCCTTGGCCCTGAGAGTCTCCTGGACCCTGAGAGTCTCCTGGGCCCTGGGAGTCTCCTTGGCCCTGAGAGTCTCCTTGGCCGTGAGAGTCTCCTGGGCCCTGAGAGTCTCCTTGGCCCTGAGTTTCTCCTGGACCCTGGGAGTCTCCTTGGCCCTGAGAGTCTCCTTGGCCCTGAGAGTCTCCTGGGCCCTGAGAGTCTCCTCCACTACCTTCTCTGACGACGACGAAGACGACGACTCCAGCAGTAACTCCCACGGCATCTCCTTCGCCCTCTCCTCCTCCAGTAGGTTCTCCCCTTCTACACCCTGTTCTTCCACTCTGTCCAGCACCTTCACGCTCAGCTGGGCAACAAGATGGACTATGTTATATTAAACAAAAAATCAACACCACAGCTAACACCACAGCTAACACCACGGCTAACACCACGGCTAACACCACGGCTAACACCACGGCTAACACCACAGCTAACACCACGGCTAACACCACGGCTAATACCACGGAAACACCAAGGCTAACACCACAGCTAACTCCACGGCTAACACCACAGCTAATACCACAGTTAACCTCATCAACTGCATGTAATGTGAGCCAGTCTAATCTAATCAGTCTATCCCAGGTTAGATTAGGTTAGGTTTAGGTTGGGTTGTGTTAGGTTAGGGGTGAGGTTTGTTTGGTTAAGTTAGGATAGGTTAGGATATATGAGGTTAGGTTCAAGAGGGAATAATAGACAATAACATTGACCTTAACTAAGTACTGTATGTCATCTAATTTTTTATCTTATTCTTTCTCTCTCAATTATTTACTTCAGTTTGAATTGAAATTGGAATACAAAACAAATTAACGTTTGTAGAGGTCGACGGACGTAACGAAATTCATAGATTATCCTAAGACATCAAATATCTCTTCCCGATACGAGGTTAATTGGTTTGGGAATTCGTTGATATGTAATCCGGCATTTTAACCAGATTTTAACATAAAGACATATTGTTTTATTTGTCTTTAACGTGTAAATTAAATATGGTCTTGACTCTGGTTATAGAAAACGGCATGTGGTTATTTATTATTAATTAACCTACACAGTGAATAAGACACCTTTACTTATATTACAGGGAGAATAAATTGTATAGGAATTTATACATCACAAATACAGTATACTGAGTGGAAAATATCCTCCCTCAGCTTATGTTATATGTTTTAACAGGTTGACAATACGTAAGTAGCCTGTGACTCACCGTAAAGGGAAGGTAGCTGCAGTGTATGAGAGTATGCAGCATTATATATGTGGGTGAGTGTATGCTAGGACCCACCCTGGCGCTACAACCTCCTAATACCAGTAGGAGAAATATATAACCCATCATGGTAGTCGCTGGTGCTAGTGGTGGTGGTTGCTGGAGGTGATGGTGGCTGGTGATGGCAGTGGTGGTTGCGTGTGGTGGTGGTAATGGTTGATGCTGGTGGTGGTAGTCGCTGGTCGTGTTCGCTGCTGGTGGTGGTGGTAGTCGCTGGTAGTAGTGGTTACTGGTGCTTTATTCGTCTCACAAGGAATGTTAATGGGAGGTCAAGTTTCAGGTCCTCTGAAATAGGTTAATAACGAAAGTTATTTCTGTGTCTATGTACTATTGTCACCTCATGAAGTCTGTCGCCACCCGGAGTTTTAATCACCTTCTTCCGTTGACGGGATTGTCGTGTTTATAACCAGAATTAAAAAAAAAAAAAAGAGTTCATGTTACCGCCACACCTCCCCGTTAAGCGCTGTGGTGCAGTGTTCTTCGTGGCTCAAAAATGTTTAAACTCTGGCTGTAAACACGACGGAAGAGGGTGATTAAAACTCCGGATGTGCGTTTCCTTCCGAAAGAGTCAGTATCGAAACTCAATGAAATTAATGCAGCTTCGGCAGTGTTGGGATCCTGAACTACACACCTGTGAGTATTCTTGGCTATAATGTCCCTTACCTGAGGATGTTATACACATTTCCTCTAACATTCCGTTCTGAATGTAATAGTAAAAAAAAATATGAACAAACAAATGATTCCTGGACCTCTCTCTCTCTCTCTCCTGGTGAAGATGGTATGTTATTTAAGTTCTCAGGGAAGAATGCCCTTGATGATGACAACACAGAAATTTCAATCTATCTTACATGCCTGTCAATAACATGTTTATGTGGATTAAATGAAGGCAATATTATGTAACAAATACAAAAGCGCTTATTTTTCAATTGAAATGCGAAATAAAAGCCTCTTATGCACGAGATACAACAAACAAATATTGTAATATATAGTCAAAGCAGATGCGACCCAAGTGACATCCTATCGTCTACCACCAGCTAAACCTCACACACGAGTCACAGACGCGGGGGCTCAGAGCAGTGCACACAGCTCGTCCCAAACTATCACCTCGCTGTAGTGAGAGGTGCACCGGGCGGCCAAAACTGAGGACTGGATGATGGAGCGATATATAATAAATGCGCCCGGTGGAGTTATGGTCTTATGTTTGTGCAGTGTATAATGAATAGCACCTACCATGACACCATCAAACTGGCACCTTACAAGTTGTGCCTTCTAACGATACAGGAAGTGCTTACAAGATAGGTTAAAAATGTAGAATAAATGTTCCCACGCGGAGTATCTGTCGAGGTGAAGGATGTTAAATGTGCCACTGTAGAAGTAGCTGCCTAACAAAGCGGTGTTCTTGTCTGAAAGGCAGCCTTGGTTGCCACAGTGCTTGCTATAGCTATAAATCATGTGAAAACGTTGCTTATGATTTCCCCGTGTGAGCATCATACTGATGTTTTGTAAACTATCCGGACTAATGGCGATCATGGAACTTCATATTTTTATTTATATAGCGAGATAGATCAAAGTAAAAAACATATTTTATTATGTTTCCGTAGTAAATTTGAATTTTTGGAGTATTTTGGACTTCAATTTCACTCAAGAACTTACGCGCCAATTACCGTAAGTCTCGGTGTCACATGATTATGTCTAGCCAATCAACGTTGCTCTCGATGTCACTTGATACTCCGAATCCAAGAAAATAGTCACAAAGAAAAGGCACGGAAAAACCTTACCTAACCTAACCTACGTGCAATGCCATCATATATTGTGTTGTCAATCTGTACAAGTCATGTGACTTATTTTCCTGTGACTTTATTTCTGTTCACCTGCGCATGCTCCGAGTTTCTTGTTGTTTAGTCGCAACTTTGCAAGATGGCTTCTCTCTGCATTGGTGTTGTATCTCAGTGTTCATCGAATATTTGAAAACAAATCCGCTGCCATTGACATTTTCAAGGCTCGTGGTATTCTGCCAACCTCTGTTAAGTGCTACAAGCGTTCATACGGAAAATATAGAACGATTGTGGAAGGATTTCAAGATTTCGGTGGTTCGTTCCGGCAATAAGGAACATTACCCACAGTGTTTCTCTCTCTCTACATGTTCCCAGCCGAATACAAATATCACAAGACTCCACCACTACAAGCAGCATCACTAGCAACTGTTAATTAAGGTAAGGTTTTTACACAACGGGGTCCAGGGGGATAGGAAGTTAGGTCAGGTCCTTCTGGTTTGTCTGGTTAGGAGGTTTCGTTTCGTAATTTTTTTGCGTGTCTTTACACCATATTTTCCCTCCACTTCAAATCCTTGCCCACTTTATGGAACGGCTCAGATTCGATTGAAACACCAGAAATTACACAAGGATTTTTTTTTTTTTTTTTTAGTTTCGTGGACGATTTTTTCCGAATATTTACTGATTCTTTTAAATGTGAAATGAAACTGATTTTAACCTACGTGAATTTTATTTACTTTTTCATTCACACAAATTACCCGTTTCATGAAATTAGTACGATTTCACAATAGGTTCCTTAGGAAGACGAAAAAGCAGACTTTGTGTGTAAAACCAACAAAGTCTTTGTTTAACTCTTGAAATCCGAATTGGTGCCTTGATAAAGTCCCCTATTTTCACTTCGATTCCTGACTAGTGAAGTATTATTTGTATATTGAGTTCCGCGTGCGTGATGGTTTGTACACAACTGCATGAAGGGAAGGGGCTGATAGTTATACAGTAAATCCTAGATGAAAGTCCGCAAACCCTCGAGGCCGACAGTAGTGGGGCCCCATACACTGTGTCCTGTTGTACCTCAATGTTACCAGATAATGAGACAACACCACCACAAGAGGTAAAAGACTCAAGGTGTGCAATATTAACCTGATCATTGTTTGGTTAATCTTTCATAATTGCAAGTTACCAAGTTACAGATACGAGTCATCAGGTTTTACTCACTTAATATTAGTGATGTAAAATGTGATAGAATGTTGATACATTACAACATAATATTAATTAGAGTTCTGACATGTAAAAAAAAAAAGCTCAATTGTTGTTTAATATAGTAATAGTCTCATAATGTTTCTTTTATTATAATATAAACTTGCTCTCGCGTTAGCAATTTGTGTATAAAATCGCCAGACGTGATCAGCTCCACTAACTTGGACACTCCCGACTGCTTACTGTATTTTCCTAGTGTATATGTTAGGCTCAGAAAGCGAAATTTTGCGTTTGGGCTTTATCCTAACCTGACATAACCCAATCCGAACTAACCTAACCTAATCTGATCTAACCCAATCTGAAATAAACTAACCTAACCTAACCTATAGCAAAATTTCGCTTCTGGTTAGTTTCCAAACAACCACGAGGCGTTGTGGTCGCTTTTCGTTTTCTGAGCCTAACATTATTATAAGCCCTCAGCACCACCACCCTCACCCAGTCAGTCCACCAGCCGTACAGCCAATCACGGCCCATCTTACACGCTGGCAGTCGTCAAGTCGCACCTCTCTAAGACAAATATTCTGTCTTTCAGTGAAGACTAATTTATCTGGTACAGTATTGGTGCAAAGAAAAACAGATTAATTAGGTGTGTCATTGGCAGTTTTAATATAGTGGCACAGTTCCTCAAAAACCTGTCTGGGATGCTATCAATAGCTGTGCTCTTGTAGGGGTCCAGTTTATCTAACTTCTTCAGAACAAAGTCCTCTCTGTCACTGTGGATTTCAATACTAACTGGAGTAATACCTTTCTTTCTGCAGTGGGATATAAAGGCTTCTGATCCCACACTGTAATTGTTTGATGCTATCAGCAGTTTTTAAGCTAAAGATGAAGAAACTGTTGTGTTATCGGAGTTTGTTGGAAGGTGTCATTTGGTGATGAGACTCCCATGGCGGCCGCTTGAGTGCTGCCCCTGGGGTGTTGAGTGTTGTACTGGCAGGTGCCACTGGTTTTATTGGTACTAAGGTGCTGTAAGAGTTTATGTGTGTTTTGGTGTGTGTACACCCGGTAGTGGTGCAAGTAAAGTGAACCTGAGGGCATGACACCAGGAGTTCCTATTTTGGGTGCATACAGCGTCTTTTCTTTAACCATTTTTGTGTTTCAATAAACAGTGTATTTGTATGTGGGTCTATGATTCACCTATAGTATTCACCGTTGTTCTTTCCCTAATACTCGATACTATATTTACATGTACCCATGGGCCTTCCTCTCACGTCACGCTACCAGGTCAGAGTATTACATAAGTTGTTGTAAGAGTGCCAAGCCCTTACAGGGGTGGCAGCTTGTGGTGCGCGCTCTTACAAATGGTGGCCTCGGTGGCTCAGCAGTAAGGAGTAGTAGCCCCCGCTCTTACACTGGGGGTTATTTTTGTCTTCCTCAATCTTATTAAAGTCTTCTTCTTTCGCTCGCTTTACATCTCTCTCTACTTTTTTTTCTTAGTCTACAAAATTCTTCGTGTGACTCATCATATTTGTTTCTTTTAAATTTACGAGCAAGGTGGAATGATCTCTGTGTCTGATTGACTCATTATCTCGTTAGTCATCCAGGGTTCAGTCATAGTTTCTATTCTTGTCTCCTTTAACCGTGCTACGTCATCAAGAAGATTAGTTCTGACCCACTCGGAGGCCTCCTTAACATCCATGCAATTTGTCACATTCGACCAATCGATATTTTGTAGTTTATTTTGGAACTTTTCTTTATTGTAATTTTTCACTGACTATTTTGATTACTCTGTGCTACCTTGGCTTACCCCTCATCCTTTTCCTGCTGCAGTAGGTGATAAAGTGGTCACTGAGGCCAACAGAAATGACCCCTACGTAACCGATTTTGTCTTGGCTATTACATATACTGTGATGTAGTGTGTTGGCTGAAGACTTTGTTATCCTGGTTGATGAATTGATTGGTTGTTTAACGCCGTATATATATATATATATAAGAGTTGTCTATATTTCGTATACATACTGTTTTCTTCTTGCTTAAAATAAGTATTAAAGTCACCCTGTAGTATTGTTTCACAGTCAATTCTAATTATTATCTTAGCAAAATGATCAACAAACTGAGCATCGTTAGGTGGACGGTAGAGAGAGAGTGTCTACGGGGATGTGTTTA